GATATGGTTCAACAAATTTCTAACCAAAAAGGAATTTTGAAAATGTTGACCCTAAGGGCTGTTTTCGCTGGTTGAGGCCCATTTATTATTTTTGGAAGAATTTGTAGCCGAGAGACCATTTTTCGAGTACTGGTGTATAACTGTGTGAAACAGAGCTCTACATGTCGAATAAATCTCAGTAAAAACCGCCCTTTTCCGGTAAAACTAAACACAATGCCAGGGCACTGCGGCTGCTCAGAAAACGTATTTGAATAGAGGAAGAAAAACGGAGGATGTAGCCAGTGTGCTGACAGTGCTCAACACCGCGGAGACAGAGCGTAATGCGGAACAACAAGCAGGGTTGCCTGATGATTGCTAAAGCATGAAACTCGAAGCAGCAGCAAACAAGAAAGACGTAGAGCGCATCTCAATCGCAACGAGTGGATTTAGGAAAGGCAGACAGTCAACATCAGTTATGAAGACTGAGCATTTCAGCGAACCGAACAACACGTACTCGTCGCATGTTCGCATCACCCACGATAATTATGATTGTGACTACCACATGCACAGGTATTACTATTAATAATACTGAGTATTAGATGTCCAACGTCAGTTGTTACAGCAGACATGTCATCTCCCTTCAAACTGAGTTGCGGGGTCAGATACATGTAAGTAGCTTGCGTATAGTCTGCACGTGTTATAGACTAAGGCTGCATGGTGCAAGAGAAGAAGGCTTTGAAGCAACCTCAGAATTGCTGCCCAGTGCAGCCCCTACTCAGTAGTTGTTTGTTTTTGTCCACATAATTATTTATTTTACGAGTTGGGTTTGTGAATAATAGTAAAAAAAATGAATCAGCCCACTGCGAAACGGCATCAGTAGCGGCCTGGCAGTGGTGGACAATTGTTGCTGATTAGATACTCCAACTGCTTTCCCAAGGGTTACGTCATCGTCATCAATAAGTGGAATGTCATCGGCACTATAATCACGATAATGTCATCATTAGTGACATCATACAGTATGGTGTACGTAGTTGTGTAGTGCTCTACACTGTACTGTACCTGTACATGTACGTCATCTCTGTACTCTCATTATACTGCATGCATGCTCCTCGCGCGCACTGAATCCAGGTCCAACAATAATCGGTGGGCAGTAAGAAATCACAATTGTTCCCCCCCCCCTTACACATATACCTGCAAGCAGAAAGGCAGACACGGCAATGGCAGCAGCACACACTTTTTAGGGGTTGTCATCTCAGTACTCTCATTATACTGCGTGCATGCTCCTCGCGCGCACTGACTCCAGTTCCAACAACAATCGGTGGGCAGTAAGACAATTTTCACAATTGTTCCCCCCCCCCAACACATAATATAACTGCACACAGAAAGGCAGACCGGCAATAGGAGCAGCACACAATTTTTAAGGGTAGTCGGTCGCAGCCAGATGCGAACCGGATGATGAGATAAGTCTAGAAATATAACGGACTTAGATTGTTGCAGATTGAAAAAATGTCTCCATTGAAAAACAGTCCACGTGGGGATTACAGGAATGGGCAACGTTGCAGAACGCTTCATAGTTTGTGACCGTCACATTGTTATAACCTGGATACATGATGCAAGGACGAAGTTAGGGAAAATCGGAGTGTGTATCCCATATGGCGACATGTCATCGTGGAAGCATTGCAGAGCATACAATAGTCAAATACTTGAAAGAGCAAGATCAAGGCTCGAAAAAAAAGAACAGACCGAAGAAGCCAGGAAAAGAGAAAAACAGACTGATGGAGCAAGAAAAGAAGAAAAACAGACTGAGAAAACCAGGAAACGAAAGAAAAATAGACTGGGGAAGCCAGAAAAAAGAAGTGAAGAATAAATTCAACCAGACACCTTGTTTGCAACCGAAAAAAATTGCGAGAAATCTTTACTGACTATTTTCGCCGCGATCGGCTGGGAAAAAGATAACGAGAGAAACACTGAAGTCTTAGGAGTTGCGTAGTATTCAAAATGTAAATGACACTTCTGTTATAAATATTATGAAATGACAGATACCGTATTCGCGCGATTAGAGCCCTCTCATGATAAGTGCCCTATCTCGAATAGTGTCCCCGTCTCTAAAGGCCAAAATTGAAAAATGTGCCCTCTCTTATTCTTAGATCTTAGGAAGATAGACAGCTTACTACAGTTCGATGGTCATTCCGTGTTGTTCGCAGGGCTATCTGTTGATTGGGCACTTTGGCTGTTGCACTGTGTTCGGGGTGCACGATGTATTTCTTAACAAGCGTTGCATCGCTGTCCTTTCTGCACGAGGAAGCATTTTAACGACTTTGCTCACAAAACATGACACACCGTTCCTTGTAAAGGAAATACTGCTAAGCTTATACAATGTAGATGTTTCTTCTGATATGCAACGTAAAAAAGATACAATACAAATGGAGTACATGACAGTACACCGAAAAGACATAGTACACAGAGTGCTTAGAGATCACGTAGAAGCTGACGAACAATATCGCTTATAAACGCTACATTAATGAATATAATGAAAGGAAGTAAACGATGCACTAAATCAGGAATCTCCTCACCAGTTAAAAACGTATAGAATCCCAATGTAATTTCTGAAGACATCTCCGCGAAGAACAGCAAACCCTGCAGACACGCGGCTGTCACCAACCGTATACAGACAAGCAGAACGCTGTCGTCTCCTAAGTCAGCTTCCATCAAATGGTTTTGTGGAACGAGGTGCAACAGTCCTGCTCGCTCCTTTTCTCGAATCAGCAAACTCCGAGCACTGCAAAATTTCGCTTGCAAGAACACAAAAATAAAATTGCTTGTGCTTTTGCGGGATGAAGTTGTAGGAAAAGAGATGATTAAGCAACGACGTGTTTTATTCTTTTATTCCACGCGCATGGCACTTGTGCACCAAAATGGCTACCTCCTGACGTGTACTATAATTTTAATTATCTGCACTTTGGCGGAACTGTAAACTGAGCTCGCACGTGGACGCAAATGGCTTGTGATCAAGAGGCCCCCACGTGACATGCGGGATTAATTATGTTCCTAATAAATGTGGACGCACAATCTAGTTACACCAAAATAGTGTTTGTGTTGGCTTGTGAGCAACACTGGCTAAACGTAAATCTTAAAAAAAAAGAATTAAAAATAATGGAAACAAGGAAAACGGTGGGGCACAACTTATGGGTTAGAGCCCACCAACTAATCCAGGTTTTGACAGTCAGACGTGCACAAGGTAGCGCAAGACTGACAAGGAGTACAGAGACATTCCCCTTTTTGGAATTATCACTTTTCACTCACATAGCAACCAGATTGTACATGGGATAGTGGTCTACCAGAATGTACTCACGATGGGTAGTGGTCTACCAGAATGTACTCACAGAATGTACTGTCACACCACACTCGCAGCCACACGCTAGCAAAAAACTAGGCAAGAAGTAATAAAGACCAAGGCGGCCAGCAAGAGATATGTCAGTGCAAGACACGAGCAGAGCAATGTCCTGGTGTGGGTGACTGGGCAGTGGGGAGCGCCTGAAAATCCCACTCCCTAAATTTCCAGCCACGACCGCTAGACCGGGCTGGGGGAAAAACTCGCCTTGCGGCCTAAAAACCCTTCTACTAATATGGGACCTGCCCCACTGCCAGTCACACCCAAAAGAAAAAACTGAAGAGAAACAAGCAGAAAGGAGTAATAATACAACCAAAAAACAACGAGGCCCTCGGGACAGAGACACACAAAACAAAGCATGCCATGGAAACCAGTAAAACAGCACCCAATGAAAGCCCAAAAACGTACGGGACCCAAGGGAGGGAGGGCGGGAAAAACTCCACGCTCTAGCAGGAATACAAGACCACGATGGCAGGTGGGGGAGAGTTGCGCAGTGGAAGAGCAGCAGAGCACGACAGAAAAATGGTGAGTGAAAATACGTTTTTTGCACTCTTTCGTTTAGCTCAGCCGTGAAAAAACAACACCAATATCCGTGAATCTCCTCAGTTGGAAGGCCGTTGGAAGGCCATTGTTTAGCGCTATTGAGCAGTAGTGCTCAAGCTCACTTCCTCCTCATGGAATGTCTCGGTACTCCTTGTTTCCATCCCTTCTAGGTTTACTTAAGGTTAATGTACTCAATTTTTAGAGTACCCTGCACAGCTTCCTATGAAGCCCTTAAGATGCCAACTAACATACACTTACAGTCAAGGCATAGCACATGGGCAAAGCAACCACAGAGAACGCATGCCAAGCTGTTTGCCTCGTTTATGTCTCTCTGTGTTACAAAGACCATCTACATTGTAAATGCCAAATTCATTTGATATTATTATGATCTGCAGCAGGGGAATAATACGTGTACAGTGTGATGTGTCACATCAGGTGGAGCATACCAAGTACACCCATTGCATTGCACACTGCCGCCAAAGAACAGTGCCTTAGCAAAACCTATTTCAAATATTCGAATAACGGTTCGAAACATAGTACAGGACTCTACCTGTACAGTGAAACTTTGGACGGGCCGGAGCCTGGCGGAGGGGTTTGTGATTTTCCTTTTTCTTAATTTCGTATTTAGCGCTTTTGGGCGCCATTATTTTCTTCTCATTATTTCGCACCAAGTTATTATTTTAGTGGTATTCTCTAGCTTCTGTTTGTTTTGTAGTTGTTCTTGTGCAACCCCCACCCATTTTTCGATGCCTAGTTGCAATGCTCACGCTGAGACCTCTAGTCGGTTGAGTTGCTCCCAGCATATCAGCACGTCGTCCCTACATCCCCTATGAGGCTAAGTGTTGTCATTTTCCTCGTTTCTTTTTGTTCTCCACCTGTTTTCCAGTAGGGCTGTGTCAATAGTGAAAAAAAGAAAAAAAAAGAAAAAAGGAAGGCCCGTTTGTTACTCAAAGATTCATGCCCAACGGTGCAATCAGCAGTCTCATGAGTCTACTTCACTGTTAGGCATCAAATTCAAAGACACGGCTGCAGAGCATTTTATTCCATTGTTTGCCTGTTCTTCGCTCTGCCCCCATGGCACCTTCAGCACTCTTTGCACACTAGGTACTTGTACATCCCTGGTGACTATCCGTGTACACGTCAAGGATACTGAGGCTCTTCGTAAGTAAAGCCCTTCTTCTTCTTTTTCTTCCTTTTTTCTCTTTAAATTGTTGCCTTCATTCCGTGGTTGGTTTCACCCTCACTTTCGTGTATTGGCTATTTTCTTTATGTGCCATGAAGTGCGCACAGTACAATTTTAATAACTAAATAATGCTTACTGGTCATAGATATCTTCATGCTTGATATGGAACAGGCCCAGTGAGCCAGTGAGATTTTGCCACATCCAATGCACACAAAAATGCCACATCACACCATTGCTTGAATATCAAGGAACATTGTTCTGAGTAGTAATTTTAGTTGAGAGTCTGCGTTGAGGACACTGGGTTCTGAAAACAAGCATTACATGGTTCGCCAGTTGTCGGAGATTGAACAATATAATTGTGATAACTGATAGTCATAATTTATTCGCGTACTGGCCAGCAATGCCAAACGCTCAGATTCAGTCCCTTGTGAGCTTTGTTGATTATGTGATGCAGGATCAATAACTAATTAACGTTGTAGAAAAATATAAGCTCAAATGCTTTATTGTCTTACTTAGCTTATTCTTCTTGCTAAGTGTTCCAGCATGTTAGACGCACATCACTGCTGACTCCGCTGCCTTGGCGTTGGCCGGTTTTGGCGGACAATTGATAGAGGTTTCGACCTCGATGGACATGCACTCCTGGCCGCAGAACTTCTCAATAGGTACAAGCGTGTATGCCATCGTCAGGTTCAACAATTGCAGAATGAGTAAACAAACTTGAAGCCATCTTGTTTCCTTCAGACACTCCTCCATTGTTGCAGGAACGCGGCCAGCATAGAACAAGTGTATATCTATTATGAGATCCAGGAGCAACAACAGACTGACGCCAATTACAAAGCAATGCAGACACAGTAAAGCCATGTTTTTCGCACAAGGACCCGACGTTCGTCTTTGCAACAGCGGCATTTTGAAAGGCATCATCGGCTGCAGATGAAATCGAACACAGGAAAACCATATGGGCACTGGGAAATTCTGGCTGAAGTATGCAAGGAGTCTAATCAACAGTTGGAGTTGTAATAATAATTCGCGGGATTCGCGTTGGCATCGCTTGAATGTTCAGAAACACACAAACTAGCCTTCGCTTCCGCAGGCCACCACTATGCCTATGCCTTGATAGATCCCGGGTAAGTCATCTTGCGCAGCTAATCTTGAGCAAGATTGTGCTTACCATGGTTTACAGAGCGTGGTCCACTGCCAATGGCAATGATTCAGGTATACTGCTGCGGAATCAAACTGAAGCGCTCACTATTGTTCTACGACATCACTCAACTAACCAGTTACCTGAACGCAGTGAAGTAGGAATAGAACAGAGTGGTACACATCTACCGTGCATCCACTGTACTAGTACTACAGTCTACGATAGAACTGTACAATCTTCGCAACTAACTAACTTGTGCCAGGACATGTATCGAACTACTAGTAGTAGTAGTAGGTATTACCACAAACCATCACAGAATGTCATACTGCATGTCGTGTGTACATGCAGAAGGACTGTATCATAGTACAATGTCACGGCTTTCCTGGCCTGAAAGATCAAGACGAGCCAGATATTTTTCAACACCAAAGTCAAAGATCCATGACCAGATAATCCACATGACAGACACCAAAGTCAAAGATCCTTTGCCAGATAATCCACATGACATTGTACTACAGTTTAGGAGCACTTGCGTGGTGCGTGGTGCGGATGGTAGACGCGCCTGTAAGCTGTGTATTTCTTAGCGCACTGCTGCTAGCTGCTAGTGCTCGCAGTGCATCAGTCCTGGTTGAGCCGTGGCGCGATGTAGCTGCACCGCTGTGCACACAAGCGCCCTAGTGCAGTTGCGGTCAACCCGTGAGCTGAGACCATAATTGTTACATGTACCAGCGCACGCGCACAGCCTCAGCTCAGGCTCATGCAGCCCACAAAGTTATTCGCACATTTTCTCGGTTGTTAAAAAACATAATAATAGTAAGTTGAAGCTCTCAGATTCAGGGATTGCGGTGTCCGTACTTCACTGTCGGTATACAAAACATGGAGTTCGGGCAGTCACCATTTCTGCGTTATATATCGCCGTGCCTTTCTCGTTACGAATTAAATTATACGAACTTAGATGGCATGGCAGTCGTGAGTCAGTCAAGTGTCAAGTTCGGCAAGTGTCAAGTTCGGCAAGAAGCGTTTGTTCCTAGTTGGAACAATCAACTTCAGAATTAAAATTAATTATGTGGCTGAAAAGCGCCCGATACTTATACTGCCATGCGATGTGATCTCTCCAGCTAATACCTTTTATTATATTTTCTCTACAAATTTGGTTGTGAGCAATACTAGCTCACACTCAATGACTGCGTTTCCCCAGAAACATTTTAATTCAACGTTTCGGTCACGAAATAACCATCATCAGGGTATATTTTGCTTATTCTGCCTTAAATGGTGAAAACGAATCATTGTACATAATTATAGGATGAGTCACGTGGAGAATCCATCAAAATATATGTTATAATAAATTTGTACACATCACGGTTGCTTATACGCTCATTCTCACCGTTTATGCGCTGCGTCTGTCCAGGGGATATTTTTCAGGTGTTTAGTGCCCGTTGTACGTTCTCCTGGGAAGATAGAGGACATGTTATAACTGCTCTGGGTGACCGAACTTGGATGAAATTCAGTATAAAATCCTCAACTGAATCAGTTCAACGGTTGCTGCTTTATGAACGGAAACTTCTAAAACATTATGCAGCCATGGACAGTGCTTCATAGATGCGGCTAATGGGGTCCTTCTCGGCACTTGTGCCAGTGGATTTGAGACTTATCCACTCACCCCCACCGTTAGGCGCTGCATCTGCTGCCAAGATTTACAGGGTGTTAGCGGCCGTCGTAAGTTCCCTTCGGGAACGGACACGATAATTTACTTTTTCCTTACAGTGCTTCTCACTGAAATCCGACCAAAAGCGCAAAGCTGCTGCCCTAGACCAGGTCCGATTACATCACTGTGTTTGTAAATGGGTACATCTAGCCGCACGTACATGTATGTGCCACTGCCAGAGCGGCAAGGGCCGTGCAAGTAACAGTTGAGGGTTCACATTTGCACTTTCGATCGGATTTCATCGAGCGCAACTGTACTTAGAGCATAATATTAAATGAATGGAAAGAAGGAGATAGTAGTAAGCGGCAAGGACTGTAAAATATATAACATCTGCACCGCTGTGAACACATGCGCCCTATACTATAGCCTAGTGCAGTTCCGGTCCAAACGTTAACTGAGACCATGATTGTTACGTACCAGCGCACAGCCGCCTAGCCTCAGCTCAGGCTCATGCAGCCCACAATGTTATTCACACATTTTTCAGTTGTTAACATTAAAAAAAAATATTAAAGTTGAAGCTCTCAGATTCAAGGACTGCGGTGGCCGTACTTCACTGTCGGTATACATGTAGGACTCAGTATAGAGTCCATGCACTATATGATGTCCAGCACCCTATATAGAGTCCATTGGTCCAAAATCCACTATACAGAGTCCAGGAGTCCACTCAGTTTTGTAGCTTCATCCTGCCGCGCAATCCCCTATAAGGAGTACACTTTTTCTACAAGTCCAGGAGTCCAGTTTATCCAGTCACGCCGTCCTGTGTGTTGTGCCCGAAACTGAAGAGAACAAACACCTTTTCAGTTTTGCTTGCCTCGTGGCAGCGCATTACTTTCTTCACTTCAGCCATGGCTGCCAGTTCTGCTGTGCAGTTGCTGACAGTAATCTGTCTCGAGGTAACCAAGGAGGATAAGGAGACGTTCAAAATCAAATCTGGAAAGCGTCTTGTGGTTCTCTGAAGACGTTTCATCAGTGCGCGGGATGAAAGCAGAAATTGCAGAACGAGAAAAGTTCAGCACAGTTCAAATCTGACGAGTCAGGTACACTGACACTCTCTTTCGTTCGACGCCACAAGGATCCCCTGTTTGGCTGGCCATTGCTGCCAGTAAGGCGTTTAATCGGTTTCATCAGAGCGAGGGATGAAAGCAGAAAGCGGAGAACGAGAAAAGTTCAGCACAGTTCTAATCTGACGAGTCAGATAAACTGACACTCTCTTTCGTTCGACGCCACACGGATACCCTGTTTGACTGGACAAGAGCTGCCTGTACCACCGTGTCAAAAGGCTGTCCAACTACATGGCAGGACGATGACTGAGGTAAGGAAGCTTTTACTCGTTTCGATTGGTCTGCTGTTCTGTCGTTATGCTTGAATTTTTTTCCATTTTCAAGGAGCGTATCGCGTTTGTTTGATGTTGCTTGAATGAATGCCCTAAAAGTAATCAACCACTTCGTAATAGTCCTCAAGGACTGCAAGGACTTTGCATCAATTGTATACGCATGCGATCGTCTAGCTATCATCAATTATTATTTTATTTCATGAGAAATGTATTTTTATCCCTGTGATAATTATGTGAACTTCACGACACTCTTCCTCTACTAGGCTCTAGTATGATGTCAAATACAATGGGATCTAAAAACGCAGTGCCAGTGTACTAGTAGTAGTAGTAGTAGTAGTAGGAGGAGGAGGATTTCTCGTATGCCGATGACAAGAAAAAGCTTCTCAAGCTAATACATGTACTCGTATTCCATGAAGTAACCGTTTTGATGTCACAAACATGACATTGTGTCAGTGAAACTGCCTCGTGACAACAAATCATTGCATTTCCATCTTGGGGAAGACTGACTGACGGCAACGCTGTACAGATTGTTCAAATCATCTCATTTCAATTTAGTTGCAGTGAAGTGAAACACTGTGTACACTACATGTATGGTGGTGTGTCTGTGCATCTTGAGTGTGCACAAACGATCTTACTGTAAGACATGTTATTATAACGAGTCGCAAATTTAACGATTGTCCAAAATTCATAGGTTAACGAGAAGATATGTTAACGATCTTGCAATATTCTGCCATATCCACACACAGCATAATATGAATCAGTACGGCCTCAACGGATCTTATTATAACAAAGAAATGTCCGTTAAAACGTTAGATTTGCTTCCTCGTAATATTATACACGTCTTACAGTATTCCTCGTATTACTAATAGATTATTGTCCCCACCGTCACCTGTTCACAGGTCTTTGAGTGGATGGATTTTCATTGAGCATTACATTCGTTGAGAACTTGGTAGTTGTGTGCTTCCATGCATCATTACGGTAATACGCGTATCCTTGTGCTATCTATTTGTTGCAGGTGTGCTGATCTTCAGAAGATTGCGGAACTGAGAGCTGCTGAATGGCCATGAGCAATGGCTATGAGCAATGGTGAAGCTTGCTATTGCACTCTCAGCATGTTCTAGTATTATGCTGACTACTGCACTATGTTACTCTCTTACGCTACTATACGTATGTAAACGTGCACGCATCCGCCCATGTATGCATTCGTTTCGTATAATTATTTGTTATCCCTCTTGACTTTACGTGTAAATGGGTGGACGTTTGCATGGCTGTTGGAGTTGCGTGTGTATTGTGTCTCTACTCTTTTCTTGGTGTTTTCCTGGCGTTGTATAAGTTTGCGTGTGTGTGTGTTTGTGTGTGTGCGCGTGCACAATAACTTGAAAACAAATAATTAATCCTTGGCTCTCCGTTATTCTCTTTCGATTCTTGGTTTTTTTCTAGGTATTTTCTTGGCGTTGTGTGGGTATGTGCATGTGTGTGCGTGCACAATAATTTGGCAACACTACATGATTGAGATATTGTAATTTGCAGTGTCTGCGAAAAGACCACTTGATTTGAGGATGGTGTTTGTAGGGTTTTTCATGTAATGAAGTGGCTGCAGTGGCGCCTGAATACTTATTTTTTATCTTGAGAAGTGAATGATGTAAAGGATTAAAGGGAGAGGCCGTTTTCTGGTTAATATTCACTGCTTCAGCAGATCCTTTGTCTAATTTCGAACTCTGGATAGGGGATGCCTAATTGGCTGGACTTTATACAGGGAGTGTTGTCCACATAAAGACTCCTTATAGTTAATTTCAAAGTTTGGACTCCATACAGTTGATTTTGGACCAATGGACTCTATATAGGGGTGAAGCCAATTGGCTGGACTCTATACAGGGAGTGATGTCCATCTAAACTTTGAGCTCACAGTTGATTCCAAGTTTGGACTCTGTACAGTGGATTTTGGACCAATGGACTCTATATAGGGGTTGGACATCATATAGGGGCTGGACGCTCTACTGAGTCCAACATACAAAACAATGATTTCGGGCAGTCACCATTTCTGCGTTATACATTGCAATTATTAAATTATTTGGCTGAAAAGCGCCGGATACTTACATGTATACTGGCTTGCGATGTGATCTCTCCAGCTAATACCTTTTATTTCATTTTCTCTAAAAATTTGGTTGTGAGCAAATACACAATCCTACACAGTTGCGAGGGCCAGACGCTCTGATCTTGACCGAGGTCTGTGAGTGATCTTGCCCGAGGTCGAGACGCCCAATAGGGGAAATGTTATAACTGTTCTGGGTGACCGAACTTGGATGAATTCAGTATAAAATCCTCAACTGAATCATTTGTTGTTGCTTTATGAATGGAAACGTTAAAAACATTATGCAGCCATGTACATGTACAGTGCTGCTCACTGAAATCCGACCAAAAGCGCAAAGCTGCTGCCCTAGAATAGATCCAATTACATCACTGTGTTTGTAAATGGGTACATCTAGCCGCACGTACATGTATGTGCCACTGCCAGGGCGTCAAGGGCCGTGCTAGTAACAGTTGAGGGTTCCACATTTGCACTTTCGATCGGATTTCATCGAGCGCAACTGTACTTAGAGCACAATATTAGATGAATGGAAAGAAGGAGATAGTAGTAAGCGGCAAGGACTGTAAATATATATAAAATATGTCTTTGAAGTGAACAAAGAATACATTAAAAACAGCATAAAGACTTTCTGAAAGCTGATAACCATGATGTGGACTTCAGGTTTCAAGTTCACACTTTTTGTTGAGAAAAAGATGGCATTCCTTGTCCGTTCCCAAGAGAACAGATGACGACCGCTAACTGAGGCATATGTGTAGAGAGAATACTAAACTCATGCATAAAGGGATCTGGAACTTTGATCGGATCATGTATGAAGAGGGAATACTGAACGTGCCAACCTCTAGGAGTTACATTGGAGAAAGCAAATTGCCTATCCCAGGCCTTTCTGTGATTGGAGTAAAAGAGCAGTGTTAGAGCTGTAGGGGAGGATTTTCTTTTTTTGCGGAATGAAGAGCATTAGGCGTAAACGCGTGAAGAATAGGACATAACAGCTGATCTTAGTCACTTTAACCAGTCGTCGCTGCCGCACTGACTAGTTCTTGGCTGGCTTGGGGAAAGCACCCCAGCAGACCGCCTGGATGTGTGTCTTTCTCCTTTTCCAGATGGTGGGCAGCTTGATAGCGAGGAAGGAGCTGGTAGCATAGACCTTTGCGTGGCTGAAAATGTCCTGGAAGTGAACCTTGCATACGGGAGAGCCTTCGTAAGACTTCACAAATCGAATACGAATCTCCGTTCCCCAGCGAACTAGCTTGACAGCCGTGCGAGCGATGTTGAAGTTGGCATTCCCGCCCAGAGAGCGCTGTCGGTTGGGAGTTCCCACGAAGTAGCGACCATTGAAATAAGAGTAGAGAAGACTCATGTAGAACGGGTTTGGTGCATGCAGGGATGGGTTGGAGAAGGCCAGGCTGATCGGAATACTGCGCAGCTCGGAGCTACCTGGTCTACCAGGCATTCCAGGTTCACCATCCTCTCCGTCCTGCCCTTCGGGTCCGGAGGGACCCATTGGTCCTTCTTCGCCCTGCTGACCGTCCTGGCCCTGCGGACCTTCAGGACCATCTGGCCCCATCATACCTCTGGGTCCTTTAGGGCCCTGAGGCAGCTTGAGGCATACCTGATTAGAATACCCGGTGGCCCAGACTAGGTGAGCACTGATGCCCAATGCTAGGGCTGCGAGCAAGAAAAACTTCATATTTTGATAGTCAGAAGTGCTTGAATAAAATAATTCTGTCTTCAACAACAACTTTTGTCTTGCAATTTCATAAACAGCTTTTCTTTTATAGCAGTGGTCTGCTCCTCAGACTTTCATCTGAGCAGAGGGGCTCTTGCCCCTACTAGTACTGGCTGATCCAGCTTACTCCGCACTTGGGGATCCCTGGCGATCAAATGTAGCCATTGTAGACTGCGGCACTCCATTACGACCTTGAGCACTGCCTGTACGTGTGCCCGTGATCGTTATGACCATAATTATTGGCATCTGGCGAGATTGCGCAGTACACATGTACGTTGTACCCGTCTTCCTCGCGAGCAAAAACGCTAATGGACCGAATATAATGAAGAATGTTTCTCCGTAGTCCGGGTTGTGATGGTGATCGGCATGCGTCCCTACGTCGTGCGGCATAGTGCCGGCAGACCTTGGAGCATTTGTTACTCAGCGCTACTTCAGACTCGTAGTAGCTGATGGCGAAAGAGAGGCATGAGACTATGGCCCAGCATGGGCGCTCATGTAGTGTTCTTGTACTTCCACTGTAACGTTAAAACCTGTGCTTGCCGGACCGGTCACCCTGTAGCAAGCGGAATCCATTTTTGACCGCCCAAATCCAGACATCCAGCAAAATTCGTTCTGTGCAGACTGCGCTCAAACATACAGCCCTGGTGGGTTGTAGGCCTCGCTGTACCCACACACTCCCCGCACAAACTAATGCGTGGGGAGTCCCAAAATAATCTCCATTATTGTTGAAAATTACATGTACTTACTCCGATATTTGATAGCTCCCAAAAAGGTTATCGGAACTGTCCCCATTCCTCTGGCGTGACATTTGTCTCTATAATGCTCAGATCATCCTAACAGCATGGCGAGGAGGAAATGATGCGAGTTTCAAACGTGAGTCGTGCCCCAAACACATGTACAATGTATATAATTATTATGAACAAACTGAAAAAAACGACATTTGTCACGGACCCCAAACTGCCTACGGAGACGTTTCAAGGACTGTTGAAGGGATTTGGAATTTTTTTACAAAAGTGGCCTGGAAATTGTGATGGGAGCCACGGGTAAAGCCACCTACTCACACGCTTTTCCAAGGCTATTCAGCCCTGTCTCATAGGGTTCACGGATACATACATGTAAGATGCACATACAAAATACACGTGAAAATGTACATCTCGTTCATGTACATGAATACAATGGTCATGCTCAGCCAAGGCCAAGGGCGTGTAATTCAAATGCACGTGAGTTTCTTCAGGATTGTGTAGAGCTCCGCAGCTTCACTCTTCTCACTTGCGCAGAAGTACAATCCTAAAGCCTCAGCCAAGCACATCCACACGTGCTCGACCCACAAATCAACTGGCACTGCAACACGGTGTGCATGTGAATGCTGGAGTGAGTGGCCTCTTCAGACTGCACCAGGTTTCTAATTTTCACGGCATTTCTCAGGCGTGCGCTCGCAAACTCTTCCTAAAAGCAATCGGGATGTACAGGTACCCATGCTAGTGGTGATGAAGGGGAAAACTGTACTGGTAACAACAATGAAAATAAACCCCAAGATGTCTATGTAGCTGCTTGGACCACAGCGAGAGATGACAGTTGTCCTTGGAGCTGCCCAGGAATATATAAATGCACACTAACGACATTGCCAAGATTGGTTGTTTTAGGAAATTCTCGAAATCAACTCCATGAAAAAGCAGCATTAGCGCGTGTACTATCCCGGAAGCACAGAGGTATACATGTACATGATTGTATGCCCGAAGTAACCTATAATTCCAATTATTTGACGTGCATGTACAATTAGTTTCCCGGTGGACGGCTCCGGATCCCCCCCCCCCTTCACAGCCCGCTCCCTCCTTTGGCAATTGGTCGTTCCACTTCCAAAAGCCCTCATACACCTTTGCTACTACTAGCCTCATGTCTAGGGAAACGACATCCGACTGTATATTTATGATCATGCATGTTACTGAGAATATACAGGTACTTCGCAGTAAATGAATCACGGCGCGCATTCATCTGTATAAAGAACAATGCGGGGAGAACACAAGTGCCATCAGTGCTCGATATGTCCAGCAAAGGCCCCGAATTCTCGCATGAACACAATATCCAAATACATTGTATTGTTCTGTTCGGTGGAATGTTTCTAATGGACGGCAATGTCTGGAGTTGTGATGACTATTTCGGACACAGTGTCACAATCTCCCAGTTTGCCATTGGTGGCTGCTGCGTTGAATTCTACTACGGACTTCTATGGTACATGCACATAGTCACCCGATGTACATGTGCTGAAAGAACGCTCATGGGTTCTTTCCGTCTAAGCTGCGGCATTCCAAACCCCACATACATGTAGACCACTGGCCGATGCAAGGTCCGGGATTAGTGAAACACCGGGAAAGCAGACCGGTTGGGGCTCATAGTTTGATCTCGCCCTGAATTGTCAGTATATCCGCTAGCGCAGAACTGACAGGTCCCTTTTTTAAACTCCCAGATACATGTTCATTCTGTGTAGTGGCAGACAGCCCTAACCGGCTCTTTCCTACTCTAACTAAGCGGTACAATCTGCAAAGTAGTACTTACTTCCCCGCTTGTGCCAGATCTGTTTGTACATACATGTATAGATGGACCATAGTGTACTGCACATCCTTAATAATTATTACGGCTTCCATCCTTTCAGCAAGTGTGAAAAGCCTGGTCAAATGTCGCTACAGTATTCTTCGGTTTTCCGATGACAACGCTGTACCATGCCCAGTGCAGTGCTGGCTGCTGGGTAAGGAATTGAATTTTCCAGCCTAATGCCATCCGCCAGTAGGATGACTTCGGATCGCCCGCCACGACCTGTATGACTATGAGAGAGTCTGGAGTACATGTACGTGTAGATGCAGGTTTCTGTTGAGTATAAAAGCGGAAGATACTGCAAACAGAAATCATCGAACAGCTCCAGCAGCCTTCAGAGCGAATTCAAGAGCATCAGAGTAAGTTATCCTTATTCTACCTCCAGAATGCGTGCCCTCATCGCTAGCTTCTGCCTCCTTCTGGCCCTTGGCCTGGCCTCTGCCACAGGTCATGGATCGGGACAGACCTGCTTCAAGCCCGTCCGCGGGCCGAAAGGTGATACAGGACTTGAAGGCCCGATGGGACCCGCGGGTGCTGATGGAGACATGGGACCCATGGGCGAGGCAGGTCCGATGGGCCCTGATGGTGAGGATGGTCAGGATGGAGAAGATGGCGAGCCAGGTATGCCCGGTTCACCAGGAGTGATCACCTTCATCCCAGTCCAGATTGTCTTCTCCAACCCATCTCTGCACGGCCCCAACCCCTACAGAATCAGCCTGCTCAACTGCATCTTTGCCTACAGCAAGTTCGCGAGCTGCGCTGGTGGTAACAGCTCCGTCAGCGTCGGCGGGGTGGCCAACTTCGTCCCCAGCGGTGCAACCCTGATGAACAGCGGACACACTCTGCGAATTCCGTTCAAGACCAGCTACCTGGGCGATCCAGTATGCACAGTGGAGCTCGGTCACGTGTTCTCGCACATCAAGCTGAACCCACAGGCTACCTACCTGGACATTACTCTCCCCTACGTCTGGCACAAGGTACGCACTGGCCTTCAGATCACCTGCCACGGAGCCATGACCTACTACCGCGGCTAAACATGCTGCGTTGCAGCTACAGCGGCGGTGGAGCTGAAAGAAGCTTCGTAACAACACTGCTCTCTATCCCCTTTAATATCATATTCTCATTAATAAATAGATCATTTTCTTTGCGACATCAGTGCACACTCACCTGTTAGACATGGATGAGGAACTACATCATAATTATATCATACTAGATCAATTCATTCTAGCACGATATAGAGTTGTACAATGACACAACTTTGTGCTAATGTTCCATCCTTTTGATGTTGAACACTCTAGGCAATCTGGGAACTTCCGCTAATGTGCAGTTATACATATTACAATGTATTAAAGTGAATTCACACACCAGGATTGTTTTCAGATCCAAGAAGAAGCTGTTTCCAATTCCATAATATTATTATTCCTGATACTCAGTTCTATTTTTCACATCACGTATAGGGTCTTATCTTCTTTCTTTTTTTTATCAAGAATGAACCTTTCCAGCGAATCCGAAGGCATTAATTTTGGTTACGGGAAGGATAGGCGCGGCACCCGTAGGACTCTTCAGACCACCGTGTACTTGAAAAACTTTATCGAGTATCGATTTAACCTTTTCGGCCTGAATCCTTAGATAAGCCGTTTTGAAAAGCATACTGTCTTGGTTCCTAGTCACAAGTGATTCCTATGCAACTGCGCCGGTTTGTGCAGTGCATAAACATCATCGTTCAAATCGTTGAATGCGCACTGAAGAATCATTGAGCGCCCAAGAGCGAAACATGGCCAGCTCTCTGTCTGGCTCGCTTTACTAGATTCTACTATTTCTAGACTGTATTCTTCAGCCTAACTTCAGGCTCAACTCGCATTGCAAACTTCCTTGTTATTATGTGTTTCCAACTAACTTACTAAAGGAGAAGACTCAGAAGACAAGCCGAAAGGAAAAGCACCATGGTATAATATACAGCAGGGCAACATAAAGGCACAGCAGGCCGAGCAGGGCACATGTGAAACCAGAGACCCGGACCCGTCGAAGCATGCAAATGAGGGCCGCTCTATGGCCTGACATGAATGCATACAAAGAGAGCGTAAGCAGACAGCATTGTCGTAGTCAGGGAGCCGACCTTCAAAAAAGTGGCGCTCCAGGTCGGGCGAGATGGAGTACAAGTATAGAATCAGACATGGATGTCAGGGCAGTATCGTTGATTCAGGCCCGAGAGCGGCCCAAGGCCGAAAGCCGCGGTCCGCTCGAGGGCCGGAATCAACGATACCTGCCCTGACATCCATGTCTGATTGTGTTTCACACTGCCACCCACGCACGACAGTACAAGTGAAAGCCAGAACGCTCTCCTCAGCAGAACGTGCACGTGCAAGTGCACCTACAACGCACCTAGCAGCGCAAACAAAGCCACTGTACTGCACTAATCTGCATAAATCGAACTTGAAATACATCAACTAGAAACACCGAGTGCCTGCCTGCCCAAGTTCTCAAGTCCTTTATGGCACTCGTTGCACAACAATGGCAGAAACTCACAACCTGAAGTTCCACCTCCGTGCGCTCCGGCTGAAGTTTCGTTGTGAAGTTTCGTGGTGAAGTTTCGTTGTGAAGTTTCGTTGTGAAATTTCGTTCTGAAGTTTCATGTCAAGCAAGGTGAAGTTTCAACTCAAGCAAGGTGAAGTTTCAACTCAAGCAAGGTAAAGTTTCATCTCAAGCAAGGTGAAGTTTCAGGTTGGTACGCTCTCGGGCTTTGTTGATTCAGGCCCTCGAGCGGCCCGCGGCCTTCGGCCTTGGGCCGCTCTCGGGCCTGAATCAACAAAGCCCTCGAGCGTACCAACCTGAAACTCACAAGCTGAAACCTCCACGTCCCCGACCACCACCCCTAGAGGTTTCTTCCTTTTATACCTTCATGGCGGCGTGTTCAGTTTCACCTCCACACGCTCTCGGGACGTGCTGATTGGTCAAGGGCCTGAAATGCCACCGCATGTATACATGGACCGGATATCAGGCTTTTTCTTTCTCTCTTGAGTTGTTCCACCTCGATCAGGTAAGTCTCTCCACGTGCGAGTATACTCATCACGTGATCATTCATGTTCTCCTACGGTGCCATTCAACTTTTCAAGCCCAAGGGCCTGAATGGCAGGGCATGATCAGAGGTTCATGCCCTGCCTGTGAGCGCTCTGATTGGCTCAAACCGTGGCTACGATCACGTGGCAAGTGTGAAGATCTCTTCAGCAATGGGTTATGGGTCTATCAGAGGAGGGCTTTCGAGTTCTTGGCCATCCCAAAGCTGTGCACGGACATCGCGAGGACGCATTTTGTTCGACGATCCAATTCACAATCGTCAAGCATTTAGGCGCAAATGTTTTTCGTTCTCAGCCGACTTCTCGGTTTGAGAAGTAGGTGCGCACGCTCAAAATTCCAAATCAGTGACTATGCGCCTGTCCAGAAGATGACGACGCTGCAAGCTTACTTTCTCAAAGCGTGACATACATTTTCATTACGATTTTGGCTTTGAAAGTGAGAATAGTATTGCCATCGTCAGGTCCACTAGTCACGAAGCATGGCGGTTCTGGACAAAAGCGCAACATAGAGTGTGTACCAGCAATAGTGCACAATAATACTCGCGCCTACTCCGGCAATTCTGCAACGCGTGCAAGCAAAGTTTCAAAAGTATATTTCCAGGTCTGACTGAGGTCGAGTCGAGCGAAGATTCCGGCAGAGTAGGCGAGATGTTGCTTGCTGACAAGTCGGCCTCCGCGTCCCTGAGTCCTGACTGCCAGTGCCACAGCCATATGCACCAGTCACTGAGTGACCAGTCACCGGACGTGCAAGATCATCATCACCCATGTCGGTACTCTGCCTGGCCTATTTATCTGCTGGTGGTGTCAACTCCGTTGCAGTTTGCCAGCTTGTTTGTTCCGGTACTCGTTCTTCACTGGTTCAGGTGAGCCTAGCTGCTTTTGCACAAAATACTTTGTGGATCCTGTGAGAGATCATGTAACTCGAAAACGAGACGTTGTTTGAAACAAAGGTAGAATGACAATCACTGCCAGTTCCACATGCACTTCTGACAGGAACTACGACAGACGTCTACGTGGCAGCACCAAAGGAGAGCATGGGATAGGCAACATAACAAGATAGAACATACATGCGCGCACGTGCATGTGTGCGAGCTTGTGTACACGCGCGCACGCCCACACACGCTTGCAAGCGTGTACTCACATGTGTGCGAGTGTGCATGAGTGCGCACACACGCACATACATGTGACTCTCTGTTCGCATACACACACACACACATACATGTGTGCGAACATGCGCGCATTCATCACACACGCGTGCGCACATACACACAGGTGGATGCGCACATGCCAATGCTCACACACACACACGTGTACATGTGCACGCACACACACGCGTGCGCGCTTGCACGCACATACACACAGGTGGATGCGCACATGCAAATGCTCACACACACACATACACGCATACACATGTACATGTGCACGACACACGCGCGCGCGCACACGCAGGTGGATGCGCGCACGTGTATGTGTGCGAGCTTGTGTACACGCGCACGCCCACACACGCGGGCAAGCGTGTACTCACATGTGTGCGAGTGTGCATGAGTGCACACACACGCACACACACACATGTGACTCTCTGTTCGCACACACACACACATACATGTGTGCGAACATGCGCGCATTCATCACACACGCGTGCGCACATACACACAGGTGGATGCGCACATGCCAATGCTCACAGCCATGTACATGTACAGTGCTGCTCACTGAAATCCGACCAAAAGCGCAAAGCTGCTGCCCTAGAATAGGTCCAATTACATCACTGTGTTTGTAAATGGGTACATCTAGCCGCACGTACAAGTACATGTATGTGCCACTGCCAGGGCGTCAAGGGCAGTGCTAGTAACAGTTGAGGGTTCCACATTTGCACTTTCGATCGGATTTCATCGAGGGCAACTGTACTTAGAGCACAATATTAGATGAATGGAAAGAAGGAGATAGTAGTAAGCGGCAAGGACTGTAAAATATATAAAATATGTCTTTGAGGTGAACAAAGAATACATTAAAAACAGCATAAAGACTTTCTGAAAGCTGATAACCATGATGTGGACTTCAGGTTTCAAGTTCACACTTTTTGTTCAGAAAAAGGTGGCATTCCTTGTCCGTTCCCAAGAGAACAGATGACGACCGCTAACTGAGGCATATGTGTAGAGAGAATACTAAACTCATGCATAAAGGGATCTGGAACTTTGATCGGATCATGTATGAAGAGGGAATACTGAACGTGCCAACCTCTAGGAGTTACATTGGAGAAAGCAAATTGCCTATCCCAGGCCTTTCTGTGATTGGAGTAAAAGAGCAGTGTTAGAGCTGTAGGGGAGGATTTTCTTTTTTTGCGGAATGAAGAGCATTAGGCGTAAACGCGTGAAGAATAGAACATAACAGCTGATCTTAGTCACTTTAACCAGTCGTCGCTGCCGCACTGACTAGTTCTTGCCTGGCTTGGGGAAAGCACCCCAGCAGACCGCCTGGATGTGTGTCTTTCTCCTTTTCCAGATGGTGGGCAGCTTGATAGCGAGGAAGGAGCTGGTAGCATAGACCTTTGCGTGGCTGAAAATGTCCTGGAAGTGAACCTTGCATACGGGAGAGCCTTCGTAAGACTTCACAAATGGAATTCGAATCTCCGTTCCCCAGCGAACTAGCTTGACAGCCGTGCGAGCGATGTTGAAGTTGGCATTCCCGCCCAGAGAGCGCTGTGGGTTGGGAGTTCCCACGAAGTAGCGACCATTGAAATAAGAGTAGAGAAGACTCATGTAGAACGGGTTTGGTGCATGCAGGGATGGGTTGGAGAAGGCCAGGCTGATCGGAATACTGCGCAGCTCGGAGCTACCTGGTCTACCAGGCATTCCAGGTTCACCATCCTCTCCGTCCTGCCCTTCGGGTCCTGCCCTTCGGGACCCATTGGTCCTTCTTCGCCCTGCTGACCGTCCTGGCCCTGCGGACCTTCAGGACCATCTGGCCCCATCATACCTCTGGGTCCTTTAGGGCCCTGAGGCAGCTTGAGGCATACCTGATTAGAATACCCGGTGGCCCAGACTAGTTGAGCACTGATGCCCAATGCTAGGGCTGCGAGCAAGAAAAACTTCATATTTTGATAGTCAGAAGTGCTTGAATAAAATAATTCTGTCTTCAACAACAACTTTTGTCTTGCAATTTCATAAACAGCTTTTCTTTTATAGCAGTGGTCTGCTCCTCAGACTTTCATCTGAGCAGAGGGGCTCTTGCCCCTACTAGTACTGGCTGATCCAGCTTACTCAGCACTTGGGGATCCCTGGCGATCAAATGTAGCCATTGTAGACTGCGGCACTCAATTACGACCTTGAGCACTGCCTGTACGTGTGCCCGTGATCGTTATGACCATAATTATTGGCATCTGGCGAGATTGCGCAGTACACATGTACGTTGTACCCTTCTTCCTCGCGAGCAAAAACGCTAATGGACCGAATATAATGAAGAATGTTTTCTCCGTAGTCCGGGTTGTGATGGTGATCGGCATGCGTCCCTACGTCGTGCGGCATAGTGCCGGCAGACCTTGGAGCATTTGCTACTCAGCGCTACTTCAGACTCGTAGTAGCTGATGGCGAAATAGAGGCATGACACTATGGCCCAGCATGGGCGCTCATGTAGTGTTCTTGTACTTCCACTGTAACGTTAAAACCTGTGCTTGCCGGACCGGTCACCCTGTAGCAAGCGGAATCCAGTTTTGACCGCCCAAATCCAGACATCCAGCAAAATTCGTTCTGTGCAGACCGCGCTCAAACATACAGCCCTGGTGGGTTGCAGGCCTCGCTGTACCCACACATATCACGCACAAACTAATGCGTGGGGAGTCCCAAAATAATCTCCATTATTGTTGAAAATTACATGTACTTATTCCGATATTTGATAGCTCCTAAAAAGGTTATCGGAACTGTCCACATTCCTCTGGCGTGACATTTGTCTCTATAATGCTCAGACCATACTAACAGCATGGTGAGGAGGAAATGATGCGAGTTTCAAACGTGGGTCGTGCACCAAACACATGTACAATGTATATAATTATTATGAACAAACTGACCAAACGACATTTGTCACGGACGCCAAACTGCCTACGGAGACGTTTGAAGGACTGTTGAAGGGATTTGGAATTTTTTACAATAGTGGCCATGGAAATTGTGATGGGAGACACGGGTAAAGCCACCTACTCACGGCTTTTCCAAGGCTATCCAGCCCTGTCTCATACTCATAGGGTTCACGGATACATAAGATGCACATACAAACTACACGTGAAAATGTACACCTCGTTCATGCACATGTATACAATGATCGTGCTCAGCCAAGGCCAAGGGCGTGGAATTAAAATGCACGTGAGTTTCTTCAGGATTGTGAAGAGCTCCGCAGCTTCACTCTTCTCACTTGCGCAGAAGTACAATCCAAATCCTCAGCACAGCACGTCGACACGTGCTCGACCCACAAATCAACTGGCACTGCAACACGGTGTGCATGTGAGTGCCGGAGTAAGTGGCCTCTTCAGACTGCACCAGGTTTCTAGTTTTCACGACATTTCTCAGGCGTGCCCTCGCAAACTCTTGCTTAAGGGGGCACATCACCCAAAAATTCGCTGAAAAATCGAATTTGTAAATTCATATTGAGTGCTACGTCAGTTGAAAGAGCATGAATAGCTGCAAATTCTCTGAAAACTGTGTCCCTATCTGACCAGCCGTTCAAGAGTTATGGCCGAAAAAGTGCCCTTGCAAGGAAAGATTTTTTTGTTGCATGCTGTCATTTGTTGGCAGCACTGTATTTGAATGTGAGCAGACCGTGCGCAACTTATCGTATTATGGAAACACGCGAAAGTGTGCAGAATTTTGCCCCAAGTCCAAAAAAGTCCAAAAAATCACGTTAAAAAACCACGTATTGGGCTGCACGGCGGCGGGCGAAGCCCGCCGCCGTGCAGCAGGACTTTTGCCAGCACCCTCGTGACGTTGCAGATATGTGGCTTGATTATTGTAGTTGACGTTGATTTAGTGACTTTGGCAAGTTTGAGTCGTGTCAAGAAGTCAGGTAGGATTCAGTACTAGGCAGTAGTGAAACGTGAGTGGCAGTCTTTGCCGGTTTCTGAGGGCATCCTGGATTTGGTGTGCAGCGCTGTGGAAATGGCTTGCTGTGGAGGTCCCAGCACTGGATGTTGTATCAAAGGTACAACCTCGTAGCACGTGCTAAACCTAAAAAATTCAAAAATTGACTTGGGTCTGTGGGAGTCCGTGAAAGAACGCCCACTCGTTCCGTTGTGACAGATTCCAGGGCCACGTTGAGGGGCCCTACCCCACCACCCATGGCTGCTTCTGGACTTGTTTTAGGTTTGGGTCCCGCGCACGGACAGAATGGGCACGAAAATGTGAAAAAAATGTAAATGCATTTGTTTGGCTCCTGGGTGGCTCGCACACCGTAGCACTATGGCGGAAATTTGAGTTTTTCCGGCCTGGAAAGCCTGTCAGTGAGGCGCAAGAACTTGTAAATCATGTCCTGAGGGCCAGCATAGTGGCAGGAGTGTGTGGTCAAAATTTCACTCAAATCCACTGAGAAAAACCAAAGTTACGGTCAATTGAATGCCATATGAAATTTTTGGGTGATGTGCCCCCTTAAGGCAACCAGGGTGTACATGTACTCACGCTAGCGGTGAGGAAGGGGCAAATGACGACAACGAAATACATGTAAACCCCACGATGTCTATGTAACTGCATGGACCACAGAGAGAGATGCACAGTTGTCCGTGGAGATGCCCGATATTATACATACATTTACATGTAATCTAATTACATTGCCAGGAATGATTGATTGTTTTAGGAAATTCACTAAACCAACTGCATGAAAAAATTGGCAGTATCGGGTATACCGGCAACACAGAGAGATACATGAGATCCCCCCCCCCCCCCTTCACTGACCGCTCCCTCCTTTGGCAATTGGTCGTTCCACTTCCAAAAGCCCTCATACACCCTGGCTACTACTAGCCTCATGTCTAGGGAAACGACATCCGACTGTATATCAATTTTATGATCGTGCATGTTGCTGAGAATATACAGGTACTTCGCAGTAAATGAATCACAGTCCGCATTCATCTGTATAAAGAAAAATGCGGGGAGAACACAAGTGCCATCAGTGCTCGATATGTCCAGCAAAGGCCCCGAATTCTCGCATGAACACAATATCCAAACACATTGTATTGTTCTGTTCGGTGGAATGTTTCTAATGGACGGCAATGTCTGGAGTTGTGATGACTATTTCGGACACAGTGTCACAATCTCCCAGTTTGCCATTGGTGGCTGCTGCGTTGAATTCTACTACTGACTTCTATGGTACATGCACAAAGTCACCCGATGTACATGTGCTGAAAGAACGCTCATGGGGTCTTTCCGTCTAAGCTGCGGCATTCCAAACCCCACATACATGTAGACCACTGGCCGATGCAAGGTCCGGGATTAGTGAAAAACCGGGAAAGCAGACCGGTTGGGGCTCAGAGTTTGATCTCGCCCTGAATTGTCAGTATATCCGCTAGCGCAGAACTGACAGGCCCCTTTTTCAAACTCCCAGATACATGTTCATTCTGTGTAGTGGCAGACAGCCCTAACCGGCTCTTTCCTACTCTAACTAAGCGGTACAATCTGCAAAGTAGTACTTACTTCCCCGCTTGTGCCAGATCTGTTTGTACATACATGTATAGATGGATCATGGTGAACTGCACATCCTTAATAATTATTACGGCTTCCATCCTTTCAGCAAGTGTGAAAAGCCTGGTCAAATGTCGCTACAGTATTCTTCGGTTTTCCGAGGACAACGCTGTACCATGCCCAGTGCTGGCTGCTGGGTAAGGAATTGAATTTTCCAGCCTAATGCCATCCGCCAGTAGGATGACTTCGGATCGCCCGCCACGACCTGTATGACTATGAGAGAGTCTGGAGTACATGTACGTGTAGATGCAGGTTTCTGTTGAGTATAAAAGCGGAAGATACTGCAAACAGAAATCATCGAACAGCTCCAGCAGCCTTCAGAGCGAATTCAAGAGCATCAGAGTAAGTTATCCTTATTCTACCTCCAGAATGCGTGCCCTCATCGCTAGCTTCTGCCTCCTTCTGGCCCTTGGCCTGGCCTCTGCCACAGGTCATGGATCGGGACAGACCTGCTTCAAGCCCGTCGGCGGGCCGAAAGGTGATACAGGACTTGAAGGCCCGATGGGACCCGCGGGTGCTGATGGAGACATGGGACCCATGGGCGAGGCAGGTCCGATGGGCCCTGCTGGTGAGGATGGTCAGGATGGAGAAGATGGCGAGCCAGGTATGCCCGGTTCACCAGGAGTGATCACCTTCATCCCAGTCCAGATTGTCTTCTCCAACCCATCTCTGCACGGCCCCAACCCCTACAGAATCAGCCTGCTCAACTGCATCTTTGCCTACAGCAAGTTCGCGAGCTGCGCTGGTGGTAACAGCTCCGTCAGCGTCGGCGGGGTGGCCAACTTCGTCCCCAGCGGTGCAACCCTGATGAACAGCGGACACACTCTGCGCATTCCGTTCAAGACCAGCTACCTGGGCGATCCAGTATGCACAGTGGAGCTCGGTCATGTGTTCTCGCACATCAAGCTGAACCCACAGGCTACCTACCTGGACATTACTCTCCCCTACGTCTGGCACAAGGTACGCACTGGCCTTCAGATCACCTGCCACGGAGCCATGACCTACTACCGCGGCTAAACATGCTGCGTTGCAGCTACAGCGGCGGTGGAGCTGAAAGAAGCTTCGTAACAACACTGCTCTCTATCCCCTTTAATATCATATTCTCATTAATAAATAGATCATTTTCTTTGCGACATCAGTGTACACTCACCTGTTAGACATGGATGAGGAACTACATCATAATTATATCATACTAGATCAATTCCTTCCAGCACGATATAGAGTTGTACAATGACACAACGTTGTGCTAATGTTCCATCCTTTTGATGTTGAACACTCTAGGCAATCTGGGAACTTCCGCTAATGTGCAGTTATACATATTACAATGTATTAAAGTGAATTCACACACCAGGATTGTTTTCAGATCCAAGAAGAAGCTGTTTCCAATTCCATAATATTATTATTCCTGATACTCAGTTCTATTTTTCACATCACGTATAGGGTCTTATCTTCTTTCTTTTTTTTTTATCAAGAATGAACCTTTCCAGCGAATCCGAAGGCATTTGGTTACGGGAAGGATAGGCGCGGCACCCGTAGGACTCTTCAGACCACCGTGTACTTGAAAAACTTTATCGAGTATCGATTTAACCTTTTCGGCCTGAATCCTTAGATAAGCCGTTTTGAAAAGCATACTGTCTTGGTTCCTAGTCACAAGTGATTCCTATGCAACTGCGCCGGTTTGTGCAGTGCATAAACATCATCGTTCAAATCGTTGAATGCGCACTGAAGAATCATTGAGCGCCCAAGAGCGAAACATGGCCAGCTCTCTGTCTGGCTCGCTTTACTAGATTCTACTATTTCTAGACTGTATTCTTCAGGCTAACTTCAGGCTCAACTCGCATTGCAAACTTACTTGTTATTATGTGTTTCCAACTAACTTACTAAAGAAGAAGACTAGCCGAAAGGAAAAGCACCATGGTATAATATACAGCAGGGCAACATAAAGGCACAGCAGGCCGAGCAGGGCACATGTGAAACCAGAAACCCGGACCCGTCGAAGCATGCAAATGAGGGCCGCTCTATGGCCTGACATGAATGCATACAAAGAGAGCGTAAGCAGACAGCATTGTCGTGCACAAAGATGCCGACTCGCGTGACCATAACACAGCACGACAATGAACATGACAGCCAGACTACTCCAGACATGAATGCAGGAAATCTGTACACATGACCATGCCTGCACAAAACACGGTATTTTTAAATAAATAATAATAATTCGGGGGATTCGCGTTGGCATCGCTTGAATGTTCAGAAACACACAAACTAGCCTTCGCTTCCGCAGGCCACCACTATCAGTCGAGGGAATCCCTTGTTCAGGGAACATTCGGTTTTTACACGAAAACTCAGGCGTTGATATGGAGATTGACAAGTACGCACGGTCAAATCGCGCCGTGCGCCCGCCGTGCGCCCGCGGCCCGAAAAAGAGGAAGATGGATGCGCTGCGAAGGCCTCTGTTCTCATTGAAAGAGATGTGGCACAATTTCGATTTGCCTTGAAATATCAGTCCCTCTTTAGGTAACTTTGCGGAGGTAACCCCAAAAGTGCGGAGGTTGGACAGTGTTTTAGCCTGGCCTGTAGGGGTTTATGGAGGTTTTGCCCGAAAAAAAATTGAACTCTGCCATGTCGTTCTCGAGAGAGAAGCGACGAGAAGAAGCCCGTTTTGCATTTTCAACATTTTGTCATCATGGGCAAGATATCCACGAAGAAGAGACACTCTGGAGGTTCTCAATACCAGTTTGCGTGCAAGAATCCCTTCCACGATGAGTGGGAATCGCCTCGGCATAGCTCCAAGGATGTTCGGGTTCGCAAGTGTATCCTGGCAGTGTTGTCAGCGCTCTCTGGACGAGACGTATCTGCAATTTGTAGGAGCTGCGGACGACTGGCTGACTTGAAGGATTTAATCACCAACCACCCTCTGTACGAGCCTCGGAGGGGCGATAGCTATGGGGACTCTGTAGACATGGTAGATGCCAGCGATGATGTTCCTCAGGCTCTCCCAGAGGTAAGCTCCTGCGATGATGTAGATGATTCTTTTCCCCCTGTCTTCAGCCAGTCCCGAGAAACCTCCTCAGCCTCAAACGAAGTACCGGTAGATAATGTTGAAAATGTTGATAATGTTGAAAATGTTGATTCTTTGAAGCGTTTAGAGAGAGTGTTGGTGGCCAAAAACTGTGCGTTGGCTGCATTGTCGAAGATGCATTTGCAGAAGGATAGCAAAATTGAATTACTTGAGAAGGAAATAATTAGTATGAAAAAGGAAAGTGTAGGTTCGCTTCTGAGCACCTCGGAAGGTCGCTTGGACTTGCTACGTAGGCTGTGTGTGGCTGAGCAGCCGCAGTTCAAAGCAGATGTGTTGAGTGCTGTTGAGTCAGCAAAGTCAAGTAGATCATTGCAGAACTTGCTGTCCATCCCGACGGGTCAGTTCAGCAACAAACCCTACAACAAGTTTGTTGAGACGTTTGTGACGGGCATGACCTCCAGCACGTTTGCACTTGACTTCTCCGTTGCCGACCGCCGCACAGTTCTTCAAGCGCAAGCCATGGAGTCTCTCTATGCTGCTGCTAACTTGAATTACTGTGCAGAATTCCATGTTTTGCTCCAGGCGATAGTGTACAGCATCACCCAAAGCAAGACAACCCTCGACATTTTTGGTCACCTAGGGTCGGGGGGGAGTTATAAGCTCGTGAAAGATTGGTTGGCTGGGTTGGGTGGTAGCGAGCTGCAAGTTCCTGAAGGGTTCGTGAGTGTTGGGTTTGACAATGAGCAACGACAACTTAAGTCGTACCTCTCCCGTGGCAGCAATCGTTCCACGTATGAGGTTCTGACCAATGTTGTCTATGCCCGTCATTCCCATGTTCCTTCCCAAGAAAAGGGAGATTTCCATTTCCGAAATTGGAAATTTCCAACTGTCACTGAGATTCAATGTGCAATAGATCAGGTACCGGATCCTCTAGATCAAGAATCTTTGATTAAGCCACACTTGCTGAGTTTCATGAACAAAAGGATTGAAGCTCTTGTGTCTGAGCAGAAGCTATCAGCTGACCCAGTTGATAGCCATCTTGCATCATTGGAACGAGAAAGACGGTACCTGATCTGCCCTAAATGTTGCACACAGATGGAGCGCAGGCTGCATTTGTGTCCCAATGCGACATGCAGGGTAAATGTTAGGCAGGCATTGCAAGCTGACCAAGGCAAATCAGTGGTGTCGACCGAGCACATCAAAGTCACCAAGCCAGGCACACTAAAGTCAGGCACCGAGTTTGTGTATGTACCGCATGTGGACAGCAGTACCGGTGTTTCGTTAACCAGAGTGTCCTCAAAGACCAGTGGTGAAGATGTGCCCCTTGTGTCCCCGGCAGATGTTGGGTTTCTAGAGCCCATTTTTGTCAACCCCAACTCCCATGAAGCTGTTCGCATTGTATTGCGCGATGTTGGGAAGCGTGCAAGGGTAAAACAATGTGTAGGTGACGAGGGGGTGAGGGAATGGCTCACTGTTGTGTGTGACGGCTTGCCGTACTCCCTCATATTGACTGTGATGGAGGAGGCAAGGCGTGATGCAGCCAAATTGGCTAACCATGAAGCAGGAATATTGCATGTCGACTCAATGTCGAAGGCTGACCTGAAGAGTGCATGCAGTACAAGGGGCTTGGGTGTAACAGGGAACATGAGTACGTTACGTGAGAGGCTGAGGAAGTTTTTAGATGATCTGGTTGAGAAGGGTGAATTGATGCCCCCAACAAACATTCCTGATGGGGAGTTTGATTGGGTACTACCCATTTCAGGTGGCTTGCACTGGGAGATGAACATCATCCAGTGCATTGTCAAGTCTCTGTGGCCATTTGCCTATAAGGAGTTCGCTATTAGCCAGGGATATACTTCTCCTAAGCAATTGGATTGGGCCTTCAAAGCCAAAGACCACCACCGCACATACGATGAGCTGAGCCGTTTCACGGATGGCTGCTTTGACGAACTTCTGCGGCCATATGTACTCGCCCAGGAATCTGGCAGCAACACCCCTTCAGCAGAGGGTTTCTTCGTTTGGTGCAAGCAGTTCACCAACAATCATACGTATTCCTGGCTGCTGGAGCTGTGCACTCAGTACTGCTTTCCACTATTCATGCTTCGGCGGGGAGCACGGCACAACGACGTACCACTGTTCATTGAGTCTCGCAGAGTTCTCTCTCCATTGCTGCATGCGAGGAATCACACAACATATCAAGTGATTGACATGTCCGAGGAAGTCCGTCGCCTCTCGCTCTCAACAGATTTGCGAAGTCTCATTGACAGCACTCTCTTCCTCAGCAGGTCAGGAAAGGGTGACCTCCACCAGGCACTTGATGCTATCGTCGAAGAGCTAAATGCCAATGTGAAGTCATGGGTGTCAGGGGAGAAAGACTCCAACATGTGGCGCCGGGTGATCCGTAACCATGAGCAGCTCATGAAGCTCCGCTCCAAGGTATTCAGTGCCCTACAGCTGCCAGATCCCAAGTCGGAATCGAGAGCCCGTCCCGGTTATGCTAAGGAACTTCTGGTGTGGCGTGCGCGTCTGAGAACAATGTTGGTTCCCAATGGTGAGCTAGCGTTTTCAAGACCACTGCAATCCTTCAGTCCTGGTGAGGAATTGGTGCCGGATGCTGTGAACCTCACTGCTGTGGGTAAAGCCAGACGGAAGCAGCTAGCGACATTATTTGGAGATGGTGCCTATCCGCTGTCCAGGCAGTCTCAGCCACCACACTTTCTGACCACCGAAGAGGCCGAGAAACACGGGAGTGATACGAGACGGACTATGGCTTCCCTCAGGAAAGAATTCCAGCAGCTACTACATCTCGCGCCCGACAACAATGCCGCCTCTGCATTGTGCGATGAACTGGAGCAGGCTTCCACCCAGCCAGCAGTGTTGAAGGTCGTGCGCCAGATGCGGGATATGGTTTCGTGCATGGCTGACGGCGGCAATGCAGCTGATGATATGCCTCCATGAGTGGTGAGTGCTTTGTGCCTTGCATTTCTTTCGCCACTTTCATCCATTGGTGTGCGGTTTATGTGCTTTTGTCTATTCAAAGGTACATTCGGACACACTCATATTGACTTTTCTGTGCAATAAATTTATTTCAGTTAGTAGACATGTGTGTCTTTATGTGTCTTGTACAGTGTTCCAACATGCAAAGAAAAGATGTTTGCCTCGCTCGAATGCAGTCCGATTGTGTCCATAGTATGCATGGATGAGCAATATTTTGCTCAAGTAGCTTTCTGTGTTGTTCTTGTGTGTGCACTTTCCTTGCAGTGACTGCTTCACAGTCGGTGTACTCGCCAAGGGAGGGCTGGTCCTGGCTTCCGTAGTTCTTCAATGTGCATTTTGCGTCATGCCACACACTTTGCATTGTCAAGTGCGAGCGCTACACTTCTTATTGACACCATGTCTTCTCCATTTATATACTTTCCACTTCATTGAGCAGCTGGCTCAAGCAGTGGGAGACTCCAGTGCAGAGACGCTGTACCTCGAACAAGGGTCGTGGCTACCTCGAGTCGCCGTGGTCTTATCCGTTACTCCTATGTCGCCGTTGGGGATATACACCCGGTTTTTTCCCTCACTACTGCGTCCGTCAGCGCGAGGGTTTTTTCCCGGCTGGCTCGGTCCAGGAATTAATCTGACGGCCCCAAGTGGTTCTGCATCATGGCCCGGCTATCACCATGATCACGGCTATTTCCTCTATTTCCATTTGAGACACTGAGGTGCATGTACATGTGGTACAAACCAGTGCTCCTATTCATAGTGGTTCAGTGTGATGTTTGTGACTGCTAGCATTGTTCTGTTGTCCAGAAAGTGTCAATTTCTGATGACGCATACATTATTATTTCAATGTTGACATTCTGAGGTGAATTGATACCAGACTATGGTGTTTGCACACAACAAGTATCCAACAGGTGATGTTTGAAGGACCAGCAGTCCAAATTTTATTTTCATTCTTCAGTGGGGCTCGTGGTGGAATCTGGGGTGTTCATCGCGGTGGGATATGAACTGCTTCTTGCAGAGCATGCCACTGGGTCAGCTCTTGCTGTTGTGACACTTGAGCTGGTTGAGGGCAAAATCTCGTCCACAGGATGCGAGCTGTACGTGTGTCGAACTCCAGAAGGAGCGACCACCACGACCAAAACCTTGGCTCCACTTCCAACATGCAACTCTGCGGCCTGCAGAACACAAATGAAGCGAAGTCTTCATGACAAATTGCGCAAGTTCAGAATTGCGATGTGCATTCAACTTACCTTTTTTAGGAGTCCATTCTTCCGTTTTGAAAGGAAATTTCTTCTCCTGCTGTCACTTGAAACGAGGCCAGTGACTACACTTTTTCGACTTTTCTTCTCCTGAGCCATTGGGTGTTGAACACTGCGAGGGAGCTTGAAAAATCACCAAGGATCACTCGAGAAAGAAGAAAAGGCTTTCGACTTTTTTTGAATTTGGCGCACAGACCATCGAGCGCGAAGAAAATATTCACCAAAACAGCGTCGTCATCTTTTTTCCGGTGCGGTCTGCCGAGGTAAAAGGGCCGAGGCCGGCAAGGCGGCTACGCGGGCCTACGCGCAGCTACGGATCACCATGATCACCTTGGCGACCAGACAATGTCAAGTGTTCCCTAAACAAGGGATACCCAGGACTGACTATGCCTATGCCTTGATAGATCTCGGGTAAGTCATCTTGCGCAGCTAATCTTGAGCAAGATTGTACTCACCATGAGCGTTGTCCAATGGCAATGGCAATGATTCAGGTATACTGCTGCGGAATCGAACTGAAGCGCACACTATTGTTCTACGACATTACTCAACTAACCAGTTACCTGAACGCAGTGAATCATGAAGTAGCAATGGAACAGCGTGGTACACACCTACCGTGCTATTCACGCGCATCCACTACTGTACTAGTACTACAGTCTACGATAGAACTGTACAATCTTCGCAACTAACTAATTGTGCCAGGACATGTATCGAACTACTGTATTACCACAAACCATTACAGAATGTCATGCGGCATGTCATGTATAAATGTAGAAGGACTGTATCATAGTACAATATAACGGCTGACCCAGCCTAGCGCCTGAAAGATCAAGACGAGCCAGATATGTTTCGACACCAAAGTCAAAGATCCGTGGCCAGATAATCCACATGACATTGTACTCTAGGAGCACTTGCGTGGTGCGCGGTGCGGATGGTAGACGCGCCTGTTAGCTGTGTATTTCTTAGCGCACTGCTGCTAGCTGCTAGTGCTCACAGTGCATCAGTACTGGTTGAGCCGTAGCGCGATATCTGCACCGCTGTGAACACATGCGCCCTATACTATTACTATAGCCTAGTGCAGTTCCGGTCCAAACGTTAACTAAGACCATGATTGTTACGTACCAGCGCACAGCCTCAGCTCAGGCTCATGTAGCCCACAATGTTATTCGCACATTTCTCAGTTGTTAACTTAAAAAATATATATTAAAGTTGAAGCTCTCAGATTCAGGGACTGCGGTGTCCGTACTTCACTGTCGGTATACAAAACAATGATTTCGGGCAGTCACCATTTCTGCGTTATACATTGCCATGCCTTTCTCGTTACGAATTAATTTATTTGACTGAAAAGCGCCGGATACTTACATGTATACTGGCTTGCGATGTGATCTCTCCAGCTAATACCTTTTATTTCATTTTCTCTAAAAATTTGGTTGTGAGCAAATACACAATCCTACACAGTTGCGAGGGCCAGACGCTCTGATCTTGACCGAGGTCTGTGAGTGATCTTGCCCGAGGTCGAGACGCCCAATAGGAAATGTTATAACTGTTCTGGGTGACCGAACTTGGATGAATTCAGTATAAAATCCTCAACTGAATCATTTGTTGCTGCTTTATGAATGGAAACGTTAAAAACATTATGCAGCCATGTACATGTTCAGTGCTGCTCACTGAAATCCGACCAAAAGCGCAAAGCTGCTGCCCTAGAATAGGTCCAATTACATCACTGTGTTTGTAAATGGGTACATCTAGCCGCACGTACATGTATGTGCCACTGCCAGGGCGTCAAGGGCCGTGCAAGTAACAGTTGAGGGTTCCACATTTGCACTTTCGATCGGATTTCATCGAGCGCAACTGTACTTAGAGCACAATATTAGATGAATGGAAAGAAGGAGATAGTAGTAAGCGGCAAGGACTGTAAAATATATAAAATATGTCTTTGAGGTGAACAAAGAATACATTAAAAACAGCATAAAGACTTTCTGAAAGCTGATAACCATGATGTGGACTTCAGGTTTCAAGTTCACACTTTTTGTTCAGAAAAAGGTGGCATTCCTTGTCCGTTCCCAATAGAACAGATGACGACCGCTAACTGAGGCATATGTGTAGAGAGAATACTAAACTCATGCATAAAGGGATCTGGAACTTTGATCGGATCATGTATGAAGAGGGAATACTGAACGTGCCAACCTCTCGGAGTTACATTGGAGAAAGCAAATTGCCTATCCCAGGCCTTTCTGTGATTGGAGTAAAAGAGCAGTGTTAGAGCTGTAGGGGAGGATTTTCTTTTTTTGCGGAATGAAGAGCATTAGGCGTAAACGCGTGAAGAATAGAACATAACAGCTGATCTTAGTCACTTTAACCAGTCGTCGCTGCCGCACTGACTAGTTCTTGGCTGGCTTGGGGAAAGCACCCCAGCAGACAGCCTGGATGTGTGTCTTTCTCCTTTTCCAGATGGTGGGCAGCTTGATAGCGAGGAAGGAGCTGGTAGCATAGACCTTTGCGTGGCTGAAAATGTCCTGGAAGTGAACCTTGCATACGGGAGAGCCTTCGTAAGACTTCACAAATGGAATACGAATCTCCGTTCCCCAGCGAACTAGCTTGACAGCCGTGCGAGCGATGTTGAAGTTGGCATTCCCGCCCAGAGAGCGCTGTCGGTTGGGAGTTCCCACGAAGTAGCGACCATTGAAATAAGAGTAGAGAAGACTCATGTAGAACGGGTTTGGTGCATGCAGGGATGGGTTGGAGAAGGCCAGGCTGATCGGAATACTGCGCAGCTCGGAGCTACCTGGTCTACCAGGCATTCCAGGTTCACCATCCTCTCCGTCCTGCCCTTCGGGTCCGGAGGGACCCATTGGTCCTTCTTCGCCCTGCTGACCGTCCTGGCCCTGCAGACCTTCAGGACCATCTGGCCCCATCATACCTCTGGGTCCTTTAGGGCCCTGAGGCAGCTTGAGGCATACCTGATTAGAATACCCGGTGGCCCAGACTAGTTGAGCACTGATGCCCAATGCTAGGGCTGCGAGCAAGAAAAACTTCATATTTTGATAGTCAGAAGTGCTTGAATAAAACAATTCTGTCTTCAACAACAACTTTTGTCTTGCAATTTCATAAACAGCTTTTCTTTTATAGCAGTGGTCTGCTCCTCAGACTTTCATCTGAGCAGAGGGGCTCTTGCCCCTACTAGTACTGGCTGATCCAGCTTACTCAGCACTTGGGGATCCCTGGCGATCAAATGTAGCCATTGTAGACTGCGGCACTCCATTACGACCTTGAGCACTGCCTGTACGTGTGCCCGTGATCGTTATGACCATAATTATTGGCATCTGGCGAGATTGCGCAGTACACATGCACGTTGTACCCGTCTTCCTCGCGAGCAAAAACGCTAATGGACCGAATATAATGAACAATGTTTTCTCCGTAGTCCGGGTTGTGATGGTGATCGGCATGCGTCCCTACGTCGTGCGGCATAGTGCCGGCAGACCTTGGAGCATTTGTTACTCAGCGCTACTTCAGACTCGTAGTAGCTGATGGCGAAAGAGAGCCATGACACTATGGCCCAGCATGGGCGCTCATGTAGTGTTCTTGTACTTCCACTGTAACGTTAAAACCTGTGCTTGCCGGACCGGTCACCCTGTAGCAAGCGGAATCCATTTGTGACCGCCCAAATCCAGACATCGAGCAAAATTCGTTCTGTGCAGACTGCGCTCAAACATACAGCCCTTGTGGGTTGTAGGCCTCGCTGTACCCACACACTCCCCGCACAAACTAATGCGTGGGGAGTCCCAAAATAATCTCCATTATTGTTGAAAATTACATGTACTTACTCCGATATTAATTTTGATTAATTTTGATAGCTCCTAAAAAGGTTATCGGAACTGTCCACATTCCTCTGGCGTGACATTTGTCTCTATAACGCTCAGATCATCCTAACAGCATGGTGAGGAGGAAATTTTGCGAGTTTCAAACGTCAGTCGTGCCCCAAACACAAGTACAATGTATATTATTATTATGAACAAACTGACCAAACGACATTTGTCACGGACGCCAAACTGCCTACGGAGACGTTTGAAGGACTGTTGAAGGGATTTGGAATTTTTTTACAATAGTGGCCTGGAAATTGTGATGGGAGACACGGGTAAAGCCACCTACTCACACCCTTTTCCAAGGCTATCCAGCCCTGTCTCGTACTCATAGGGTTCACGGATACATAAGATGCACATACAAAATACACGTGAAAATGTACATCTCGTTCATGTACATGAATACAATGATCATGCTCAGCCAAGGCCAAGGGCGTGTAATTCAAATGCACGTGAGTTTCTTCAGGATTGTGTAGAGCTCCGCAGCTTCACTCTTCTCACTTGCGCAGAAGTACAATCCTAATCCTCAGCACAGCACGTCGACACGTGCTCGACCCACAAATCAACTGGCACTGCAACACGGTGTGCATGTGAGTGCCGGAGTAAGTGGCCTCTTCAGACTGCACCAGGTTTCTAATTTTCACCGCACATTTCTCAGGCGTGCGCTCGCAAACTCTTGCTAAAAGCAACCGGGATGTACAGGTACTCATGCTAGCGGTGAGGAAGGGGCAAACCGGGCCGGTCACAACAATGAAATAAACCCCACGATGTCTACGTTGCTGCATTGAACAGAACGAGAGATGCAGAGTTGTCCGTGGAGATGCCCGGGATTGTACATACATGGACACTAACAACATTGCCAAGAATGATTGTTTTAGGAAATTCTCGAAACCAACTGCATGAAAAAATAGCAGTATCGGGTATATCGGCAACACAGAGAGATACATGTACATGTATGCCCAAGGGTCATAAGGCGTCCTATAATTCCAGTCATTTGATGTGCATGTACAATATCGTTAGAGTTTTAAATCGGGCATCTCCACGGACAACTGTACATACCACTTGACATGCACGTCTCGTCTGACCGTGACATTCTACGACTTAAAGTCAGCGAGAAATCTGCAAAAAGTGCCCAGAACGAAGGATTTGTTGTCTTGTTCACGCAAGTTTACCGGTGGACGGCCCCGGACCCCCCCTCCCTTCACATCCCACTCCCTCCTTTTGCGATTGGTCGCTTCCACTTCCAAAAGCCCTCACACACCCTTGCTACTACTAGCATCATGTCTAGGGAAACGACATCCGACTGTATATTTATGATCATGCATGTTGCTGAGAATATACAGGTACTTCGCAGTAAATGAATCACGGTGCGCATCCATCTGGATAAAGAACAATGCGGGGAGAACACAAGTGCCACCAGTGCCCAATATGTCCAGCAAAGGCCCCGAATTCTCGCATGAACACATTATCCAAATACATTGTATCGTTCTGTTCGGTGGAATGTTTCTAGTGGACGGCAATGTTTGGAGGTGTAATGACCATTTCCGACACAGTGTCATAATCTCCCAGTTTGGCATTGGTGGCTGCTGCGTTGAATTCTAATACGGACTTCTATGGTACATGCACATAGTCACCCGAAGTAAATGTACTGAAAGAACGCTCATGGGGTCTCACCGTGTAAGGTGCGGCATTCCAAACCCCACATAGATCACTGGCCGATGGCAAAGTCCGGGATGAGTGAAACACCGGGAAAGCAGACCGGTTGGGGCTCAGAGTTTGATCTCGCGGTGAATTGTCAGTATATCCGCTAGCGCAGAACTGACAGGTCCTTTTTTCAAACTCCCAGATACATGTTCATTCTGTGTAGTGGCAGACTGCCCTAACCGGCTCTTTCCTACTCTAAGCGGTACAATCTGCAAAGTGGTACTTACTTCTCCGCTTGTGCCAGATCGGTCTGTACATACATGTATAGATGGATCATGGTGTACTGTATATCCTTAATAATAATTATAATATTATTACGGCTTCCATCCTTTCAGCAAGTGTGAAAACCCTTGTCAAATGTCGCTACAGCAGTCTTCGGTTTTCCGATGACAACACTGTACCATGCCCAGTGCAGTGCCGGCTGCTGGGTAAGGAAAGGGATTTTCAAGCCTGATGCCATCCGCCAGTAGGATGACTTCGGATCGACAGCCACGAGCTGTATGACTATGAGAGAGTCTGGAGTACATGTACATGTACATGTAGATGCAGGTTTCTGTTGAGTATAAAAGCGGAAGATTCTGCCAACAGAAATCATCGAACAGCTCCAGCAGCCTTCAGAGCGAATCCAAGAGTATCAGAGTAAGTTCGAAATTTATCCTTGTTCTACCTCCAGAATGCGTGCCCTCATCGCTAGCTTCTGCCTCCTTCTGGCGGTTGGCCTGGCCTCAGCCACAGGTCATGGATCGGGACAGACCTGCTTCAAGCCCGTCCGCGGCCCGAAAGGTGATACAGGACCTGAAGGCCCGATGGGACCTGCGGGTGCTGATGGAGACATGGGACCCATGGGCGAGGCAGGTCCGATGGGCCCTGCAGGTGAGGATGGTCAGGATGGAGAAGATGGTGAGCCAGGTATGCCCGGTTCACCAGGAGTGATCACCTTCATCCCAGTCCAGATTGTCTTCTCCAACCCATCTCTGCACGGCCCCAACCCCTACAGAATCAGCCTGCTCAACTGCATCTTTGCCTACAGCAAGTTCGCGAGCTGCGCTGGTGGCAACAGCTCCGTCAGCGTCGGCGGGGTGGCCAATTTCGTTCCCAGCGGTGCAACCCTGATGAACAGCGGACACACTCTGCGCATTCCGTTCAAGACCAGTTACCTGGGCGATCCAGTATGCACAGTGGAGCTCGGTCACGTGTTCTCGCACATCAAGCTGAACCCACAGGCTACCTACCTGGACATTACTCTCCCCTACGTCTGGCACAAGGTACGCACTGGCCTTCAGATCACCTGCCACGGAGCCATGACCTACTACCGCGGCTAGACATACTGCATTGCAGCTACAGCGGCGGTGGAGCTGAAAGTGGCTTCGTAACAACACTGCTCTCTATCCCCTCTAATATCATATTCTCATTGATAAATAGATCATTTTCTTTGCGACATCAGTGTACACTCACCTGTTAGACATGTATGAGGAACTACATCCTAATTATATAATACTCGATCAATTCCTTCTAGCACGATATGCAGTTATACAATGACATAACTTTGTGGTAATGCTCCATCCTTGTGATGTTGAGCACTCTAGGCAATCTGGGAACTCTAGCTATTGTGCAGTTATACAATGTAATAAATTGAATTAACACACCAGGATTGTTTTCAGATCCAAGAAGAAGCTGTTTCCAATTCCACAATATTATTATCCCTTATACTCCGTTCTATTTTCATACCATACGCTGTAGAATGTAGAATGTAGAATGTAGAATGTAGAATGTAGAATGTAGAATGTAGAATGTAGAATGTAGAATGTAGAATGTAGAATGTAGAATGTAGAATGTAGAATGTAGAATGTAGAATGTAGAATGTAGAATGTAGAATGTAGAATGTAGAATGTAGAATGTAGAATGTAGAATGTAGAATGTAGAATGTAGAATGTAGAATGTAGAATGTAGAATGTAGAATGTAGAATGTAGAATGTAGAATGTAGAATGTAGAATGTAGAATGTAGAATGTAGAATGTAGAATGTAGAATGTAGAATGTAGAATGTAGAATGTAGAATGTAGAATGTAGAATGTAGAATGTAGAATGTAGAATGTAGAATGTAGAATGTAGAATGTAGAATGTAGAATGTAGAATGTAGAATGTAGAATGTAGAATGTAGAATGTAGAATGTAGAATGTAGAATGTAGAATGTAGAATGTAGAATGTAGAATGTAGAATGTAGAATGTAGAATGTAGAATGTAGAATGTAGAATGTAGAATGTAGAATGTAGAATGTAGAATGTAGAATGTAGAATGTAGAATGTAGAATGTAGAATGTAGAATGTAGAATGTAGAATGTAGAATGTAGAATGTAGAATGTAGAATGTAGAATGTAGAATGTAGAATGTAGAATGTAGAATGTAGAATGTAGAATGTAGAATGTAGAATGTAGAATGTAGAATGTAGAATGTAGAATGTAGAATGTAGAATGTAGAATGTAGAATGTAGAATGTAGAATGTAGAATGTAGAATGTAGAATGTAGAATGTAGAATGTAGAATGTAGAATGTAGAATGTAGA